ATCCATGGGGCTGTCTGTTTTTCTATACGGCAGCGAAACGTGGACGATGTACCGGCGGGATGTGCGATATCTCGAGCGGTTTCATCAACAGTGTCTGCGACGGATTCTGCGCATTGGTTGGTGCGACAAAGTGTTGCGCCGTAGTGGAATGTATGCAGTGGACTGCTGAGACACTTGAGGTGGCTAGGTCATGTGGGGCGTATGGATTTGACGCGGATACCGAAGCAGCTATCATATGGTGATCTGTGATGGGGAGTGGCATGTGGGGAAACCGAAGCTTCGTTACCAGGACATGATCAAAATGAGCTTCTCACGTTCTAATCTTGATTGCAGGTCATGGGAATCGAAGGCGGTTGATCGGCGTGCATGGCGCGATCTGATCACGAAAACAGTTACCGAGGTGCAGGAGAAAGCCCTCGTGAATTCGAAGAAGAAGCCGCAACTACGGAAGCGGTAGGCGCCAATGGGTTGTACTCAAACGACATCGAGCGCATGGTGCTGCAGCACTTGCGGCCGCGAGTGCTTGAGTCTGGCAGGCCCAGTGATCCATGAACGAAGCCACTTGGGGAAATCACAGAAATGGCGAAGAGTTCTGCTGAGTAGGCAGAACCGGCGCAGCCTTGGTAGGTACGCTGCATTAGAGTTAGTAACCGCATGCTTGCATGCGGAGTCTCTTTATTTCAGATGATGGGTTTGCTGTATTGTCCAAATACATTTCTTATATCATGTTAATGCCTACCTGAACTAACTTTTATTAACTTGCACACGTTTAAGCTAATTGTGGTTAACTTCGATAACATTTTCCCGTTTATGGCACTTTCTTACAATATATTTTCTGATGTCTTGTACCTATCGCGGGTTTGTTGGCAACCAATTTATTTCATGTGCTCATTAATGAGGTTATGACCTATCTGTATGCATTATTCGATCTATTTTATTTGATATTGCCGTTTCAAATGATTGGCTGTTGCTTGATATCTCTGGTTTGGCTGTTTTTATGTGCATGTTGACAAGGTGCCTACCTGTCTATTACCCACTACCTCGTCCATAATGGTTTCAGGAGAAAATTGGTCGTTGTCGTGCTAGGCTCGAAGAGTGGTTCCATGCACTCAATGTGGAGCGGACTACGGTCCAGTCATCGCCTTGTGAGCGTTTGATTCCTAAATACCGCGTGCCTGTGTTTTCCTTTGAAGGAGTGAATGCCGGCTCCGTTGATGAAACGTGGCTCCCATCCGCATGCCTCCCGGTCTTATTCCTTCGGGTTTACACTAGGTATGGGGTGTGTGGTGGCGCACCGCAAGCCATCGATGGTTCCTTTGTAGTCGCAGGTGTCCGGTGGCTGTTCACAGTGACAGGCAAACCGGAAACCGCATTCCGCCAACCACATATATATATATATATATATATATATATATATATATATATATATATATATATATATATATATATATAGTGCTCCACTGGTGAGCTTTGATTCCACTTCATTTGCCCTCTGAGGTACAGCAGCTCAATGTGGGTTAGCAAGTCCCGTTTTGAGGGCGTTACACTTCGGTTGCTCGGTTGAGATGCGGGTACTGAGCACCTTTGTGCATGCTCTCGCACTGGTGTGCATTTAATATCCCCCCGGGGCAGACATCCTCAAAGCCATATCGACAAGACTGGGTTTCTTTTGACCGCTATTGCATCATCATTATGGGTGACTTCCGGCATTAACACAGCATTAGCTGACCTATGATCTTGTAGCAGTAATTTATACTGTGATATATTGAAAGTGACTCTGCTAGTGGCTTCAGTTGTCTTTCTGTCCAGATTTCTTGTGCTTCGCTGTCAGCTATACATTGCATTATGGCTGTCGCTGCGGTACCTCAATCACAAGATCGTTTCCCTGACATTTGTAGTAGGCCATTTTTGACTTGAACTAGGCCTTCTTTATGCGATTCAACCACCATCCTTTCACTTGAATGTGTTAAGCGGCTTGTATCAAGTTGTGCCCAAAGCTTACAACAGTTCACATTTAATCTAGAGTTCGGGTGACTGGTCTGTTTGTTGTCTTACGCAGTGTTAATTCATGCCCTTAGTCAGCATCTTTATAATCCAATTTTAATGGGTGATTTGGCCATTCGTTCTTTAGATGTGGCCCTTTGGATTATGGCCAGACTACCACACATTCGTCACTGCACGGTTACCACACGCTGAGGAGTGTTGTCAAGTATAGTTGCCCCTCATCTATTACAGAAATATCAGAGGCATCATGGCCAGGCAGCACTGGCTTTTCGACACCGCACTAACCTATGGTAACTGTTTTCTTTAGCTTCCAATGTTATACATTGACAAGCGTGGTTAACTATTTTGCGGCGGTACTTGCCCTAATCTGTTTTTAGTTCAATATCTACGTGAACCCACCGGAACCATGGTGTCTTCTTCCGTGAGATACAAACACGGAACTTCGGTTAGAGATGGAATCTTTCACTACCTATTGCAGACCATGGAGTTCCTAGTCACTGTGGTGACTGCTGTCTTACTCCCCTGAAGGCTGAAATGTATGCCGAACGACGATACAACGGCGTCAACAGCAGTTCTTACGTCACCTAAATGCAATTGTACTTAAGCCAAACTGTCAACCTGTGGCGAACCCACTGGGAGCTAAACTAGGCTGCCTTGTATTCCTAAATCTAGCTACCACGGTTAGACAAAGTGCACTGCGCACAACCTAGCATCTGCAAGTCCTTCGGCTTAGATTTCCATACATAAACGCGGCAGAATTCTGCTCACAATGTCAATTCAAGTGGTAACCCTTCCAATGTGAAATCCAGTAGCGTGATATTGGAGAAAGCAGTGACAAACACTGCGACTCCATGGGGCAGTAGATGGACGGTTAAGTTTTATTTTTGCATCGAAGGATGGCATAGTGGTTTTATTTCAATCCATAACGCTTCACGGCAACCCATTTTTAACCAGTATAGCTAAGCAGTAGACCACCGGCCATCTGAGCATTAACTCGTCCAATTCGTTCCACAAACGGCTATCCTGTGTCCTATTAGATGATAGATACCGATTCGATCACTGCCGGAATACTTTGAGTGTGGGTTGGCTTCGCTCATTGATGGTGAGGGTGTGTAACAGTGATAGCCGAACCGTACTCCTCAGTGCAAACTAAGTTACTGCACCTGGCATGTCATACACTTGCTTCGTGGAATCGCGTGACCTAACGCAGTATGACTCAGAGCTGAAACACGCATATTCCGGGAGAGCTCAAGTTATTTTTCTAGGTCTCTTTGTGTTCGCGCTTGCGAACAAACTCTGTGTGTTGAGCCAGAGTGGGAAAGAACACGTGGACCGCAACCGTGCAATTACCTAACCAACAGGGTTGTCGAGATAGCACTAATGATCACTAAGTTAGTTCGCGATATGAGACTGTCAGCTCATTGGTTATCGTTCGTGCGGTACCTGACGAGATGTGCATCATTCAGGGCTGTACCAAAGCAAGAGTCGCAGTTATTAACCAATAAGGTGAGAGACATGGCACTCCATTGGACACTGTATCCCTTGCCACGGTCGAGGGGACAACCTTCCAGTCACAGTAAATGCTTAGGATTTCTTTACTCACATGTACTGACAAAACCGAGCGGGTTGTTTAGTGATCGTTGTCGCATTTTCTTGTTCCGTAGTTAAAGCTATGTAGAATAACTGATCACTCGACAGATACAACCTCGCCTAGGGCCGCTACTTGTAGATTTCAGCAAGGCAGTGGCCACCACAACTCGGTAACAATTATCACATCGTCCTTCACACACACACACACACACACACACACACACACATTGAATCTACACTTGTGCATATTAATCAAGCTTAACACGTTAATGACGTTCAACAGGAGAATTACAAGGTAAACTGCGTCACTCAGGGGTTGTCGAGCATCTGCAATCTCTTGACTTATGTTTCTTTGCCCACCACAGTAAAGGGCAGCAGCTAGCATCCCAGATCTTTGCTAAGATAATTTTTGGATGGTGATTGAACAATCAGTTCCGAAACTAACATTACGAACTCCGGAATGCGTGGAATAGTCATGCGTGTATATTATTCTCTTCAAACTACGCTGCTACCTTATTTGGTAAGTCACTTACTTACCATGACGTCTCGGTCTCTGACCTGAAAGCTGTCAAATGGATGACGATTTGGAACGCTTCTTCACAGTTCGACGCAAAAAGTACGCGACGCAGTGAGCTACCACAGCAGCTTTCTTGGTATGCGCAAACTATCTCACTAGTGATCAATATCTCGAACCTTTAGTTAAGTAAGAAAAAAGGCTGTCTAGCCGAACTATCTCCACATGGGCCAGCTGGATGGTTCGGGTTAATCCCACTCCAGCGAATAGTTCGGCGGCAGTGTTCCAGGACGTGGTGGATTTTCGCCTGACGAGCGTTCTCTCTATAAAAAGCCACAAAGGTCCGTTTAATAACACTGCAACTTGGCGGATGTGACTCGCCACTATATAAAGTCACTGCCTCTTACCCTTCCGGGGGATCCCTACTTCACGAACGTCATCCAGTTCGAAGAGTACCTTTGATCCGTTTATACGATGGCGAACACAATAAAGAAGCTCAAGAATTCAGACACTTCACAAGTTCGCTGACCATACCCACCAACACATACACTTACATATACACTGGCACACAAATCAAGTATGTTACTGATTAACTTGCTATATTTTTACACAATTACCGACCATACCTGATTGTATTTCCTTGCTTATACTTTCGTAAGTGTGCCTCTCACTGCCTGGAATAAAACGATTATTATTTATTATCATTCTTTAACTATCTCCGTTTACTAAATCATTGCTCTGCTTTGTTGTCCTCTAACCTGTAATGTGTGACTGCTTCGCAACAATTAGCAGCTTACACATGGAATTCGACATGCTGAGACTGAGGCGCCGCAACTTTAGCGGTTTTATCATGTCGGTTTAATCGAATCAAGAATATCAACACAACGAATGGAAACAAAGTAAGTAAAGGTCACATGTGTATATTTCCCTTCTCTCTTTTGATCGAGGTCGTAAGCTGCACTATTAGAACTGTTGCGTAGGAATGGATGACGGGTCTTCCGTGTAGGATGACTCACAATCCTCTATCGCAGGCAGTGACATTCGGTTTCTTACATCGGACTTCGGCAAACCTGGAGAGTCTGTGGAGTACAACCTCGTCACAGCAAAATATGCCATAAATTTGGGATAAATCTCCGCAGTTGATAAGTGCTCAAATGGCATCAAGCCGGAGGCGGATGTAACGAGTTGGTCATTCGTATATGTGGTGGTTTGGCAACGATCTGCCATGTTGGATAATCTTGCGTTTGCGGCTGTATCACCACATTTGATGCCATGTCTCGAATAATCCTCTTTAAAGTTCACCGACATTGGGGGAAATGTCCGGATATGGTCAGGAATCGAACCTGTCGAGTAATGCCCACTCCCTTTCATGACATTATTCGCGTCAAACAAACTCATGGTTGGCATCAAGTTCTTGTTGTTGGCTCCTGAAGGATTTACGAATGGAACCCCAGACCACGCGTATGAATTTGATTCCTCTGAAGGAATAGGTCCACTTGATGTAGAAATTTCATCCGTATTACTCCGGATACATGGATCGGAACACCTCATATTGCGACAGCAGTTGGGCGTGTAGACATTTCCTTTTAGCCGTGGACCCATCGTGGCTATATTAGGGCATATTGGAGGATAAGCATTGCGATTATGAATATTCTTCTCAGGATACAAGCAATTGTCCATTTCCATTCTATCAATTGAGCAAGCTGCGACTGTCTGCCGACTTTCCATCGTTTCCTGGGGTTCCATTGCCTGTTGGATGGTTTTGTCTTGCGTCTGTCGCTTGACTTTGTATCTCCGGTTTTGGAACCATATTTTAACCTACAATAAATGTTAGAATGATGTTTAAAACAAGAGATCACGGTGGAAGATTACCTTTTGGCATATGGGTATTTTACAGGATTATGCCTGGTGTAAAACCAGGTATAAGGTTCGAACAGTCCACACCCCATCTGCATTCTTGGATTATTGCCATATAATGCTAAACCAGTCTTCGCACAAGGAACAGGATAGGCGTATGGCTACCATCCTCACAAGCAAGATAATCGCTCTTCCGTTCCTGTCATAATTCATGTAGAAATGCTTGGAACTTATCAAGGAGGCATGAATTTTTTGATTTTAATGGCAATAAGAACGCTCAAATTTTATCTTCTGAAGTAGTTGTTTTTCATTGAGTTCACTCAGACGGCAAACAAATACTTGGACGATTAGTTGGGAACCAGGGAATTCTTTTGGGGATGATCACCACTGTTATCTACGCCAGGTGGTCAAGTGACTCAGATTTCGATGTTACTTTTTGTATGTTGGGTATCGAGCAACCCTGACACAAAATGTGAATAAGCTGTATCATTGCTTCAACCAAATTGAAATTAATATCGTTCACGGTAAAACTAAGTGGCACTCATTGGTGGAAAACAAAAGTAGTCTCAAATTAACGTTTAGCTTTTCGAGCTTTCGTCTTTTTGTACTTCAGAAATTTGCAGTCAGCAATCTGCTTATCAGCGCTAATTCTCAGCGGAAACTTCCAGTTGGTAGTGTTGGTGTCATTCGCAAACTGTAGGTGCTCACTAATTTAGTACAAAATTTGCCCCATTATGTCGTCCTGTAGCGATATCGCACTGAAACTGAACGTCTTAGGTAACAGCATTTTTTTGAATCAACCCGAGAATACCGTATCTTCGAATGACCCATATAGAGCTTCAGTCACCCTTATGTTGTAAGCCAACGATGATACGTGTATAGATTGCACATTTCAAATAAAATAGGAGCGGTCACTCTACCCGATGGGAACTTCCTCTATCGCCTATAGTAAACTAACGACCTAATCGAAACAAATCGGGCTGAACCGTTTGGTTAGTACTCTGTTTCGACCGGCAAATACACAGTAGGCCTTCTGGTCGTTCCTCATCTACCAAACAGCGGCTAAAATTGCGTTTGAGTGGCTCATGCAGTGTGCAGTCACTGAGAGCCGCAGTGCTTGGTAATCACTGAAATTAGGGCAGAACATTGGGTGCACCGGAATTCGGATCATTTAGACCATTGAATACAAAATCCATAAATCTTTGTAATCGAAAAGACGACAATCAGGAAACAACTTTTCCGAAATTATCTGTTGTCCAACCGGTTTATATGCTCTAGTATTCGCCGCTGCACATAAAAATTTTCACGAGTATAGCAGTCACTGATGATTGCTAGTTGCATCTGTAATGCTTAGTGGATGACCTTGACGTTTCCAATCACAGCCACATTACACATACCCTTACTGTAAGCCTTTTTACAAGGTCCACAAAGTGTTGTTGTAGCCTATCTCACATAGTCACTGCCATTGTCGTACTGATGCTGATGATCCTGACCATACAATACCTAACGCGTTGGAACAGCTTACTATAAGCAGGTTGCACCCCTGATTTGGCCTGTTAGCCTAACTGAATTTCAACCAAGGGTGCTATGTTCACAGTAAGTGTTTTCATCACCCTCTAGAAGTATGAGTTTGGCAATTTATGATCCAGCTATCTTTCCTATTAATTACCTAATTGATGTTGGTTGGCTGAACAGTATTTTTGAATACTTTCTGTTCCTGTGATATCTCCCAGACTGGTCTCCTAGAGAATACTCAAGTTATGATCAACGGGGTATGACTGTTTCTGAACTACCATCTCCTCAGATTTCGCTAGATCAAAGACCACCACATCCCTGCAATTTTAACCCGTCTACTAGCAAACAACGGTCGAAACACTGTCGCTTAGACGGTTTACCCTAAGAGATAAAAGCAAAAGACGCTGCTCAATTTTACATGCTCATACGCACCTCAATTGTGCATCCGACCCTTTTATTTCAAGAACAGTTCTATAGAGATACATATCTCACTTGAACCAGATTAACATCTACAAACTTAGCACCGGTACGATGATGTTTTGCTATTATGATCCAGTGACTTGACCTGAATTCAAAACCATTAGCCCATGGTTGTGCACAATAAGCCATCAACAAACAGTACTCAACTGTTTGTTTTTGTTGTACATTGAGTTCGGTGACCGAAGAGAAATCACCAACATTTCCGGACAGATCTGTACCTTGTTGTAATACAAATCTGTCAAAAGACAAGTCTTTCGATCATTATGTTGACGCAGTAATCGTTAGCATGAGCCCGCCTACGCTAAAGGTACCCAGAAGTTGCAGGGTTGAAGGCCTGAATAAGTGTATTGATAAACTGGTAAGGTATGGGACTGTCACAAATGAAAAAATTCTTCAAGTTACTCGAGATATGGCTGAAAGTTTAACGTATATTGCCGAACACTGTGTCAACTTTGGCCGATACGAAGGTTAATGACAACAACTTGCCTCATGCAGTTAACCCAATAGCTACTATGTGCAGTATTTGGGGCAATTCTACGCTGAAATAGTGAATCAGTCATCAAATTGCGCACACCGTATAGCATGAACGAGCGAGTGGCAAGCTCCCATTCTACTCTACTGGAGCGCAAACTGTCTGCGGAACATCCAAGATACTGCAAAACTGATTTGCCTACCCATAGATGCTGTGTGCACGGTGGTATGTGCCGGATCTTCAACAATCATGCGTCCTGCCATCACCTTGGTCCCCATCCCAGTTCACACTGCATACGAAAGGGGGAGAGATGTGTCGGTGCTACACAATCCAACCAATTTCTCTCTGCATATGCTGCGGTTTCATGATTTGTTAGGAGTCATATTGACAGGTAAACTCGGAGGGGATGCCACAAACCATGATTTTGTTTACAAACTCGCCTTCGTCAGCCAACCATCATCACTTTGTAAATGAACAATTAAGTGGTAATTGTTGTTCAGCAAGTGAGCAACCTGCACACCCCGCAATTATTCAGCTCCGTTCACCGTCTAGTATTGGGTATTCGCCAGCAGTTCTATTTGCTACTGAAGGGATTCAATTTTTCGGTTGCTGTAGCGTTTGCCTAAGACCATAGTGCAAGGGTTGGCGCATCTGGTTCTCAAATTCTGCGCCTAAGGTTCGAGACCCCAGTTGCGTATGGATGTGTGTGTGTCGGTAGTACCCAGTAAGCGTGCGAATTGTTGCAGATTTATGACGGAGAAGCATCAATGCAAAGTGCATCTGGGTTGTTGGAAACTCATCCCCGCTGTGCGCAACCAACGCGCAGTCATCGGTTAATAGCAACCTACGGATGGTTGTATCACACATTATGGTTCTCGCCCCGAAACGATGGATGTTCAACAAATCATCATTACTACGGTCCTCCACACAGACACCTTACTCACAAGCGGAATCCAAAGTAGCAGACAATCTTGCATAGAGGTAAATATTAACCAGAGCGCGAGCTAAGACACAGCCTTGCTTCACACCAGAGACAACTGCAAAAACATCCGAAGTTTGCTCACAGAGCTGTACCCTTATTCGCATACCACTGGGCAGACAATCACTTAAAGTTACAAAATTACCCAGTAACCAAGCTCACCCAGCACCAGCCACCGTGCTTTGCAGTTCACCGTGTCAAATGCTTTGGTGAACTCTATACACAGCGATTAGAATGGCTGATATCGCTTTGGGCATTTCTCCTGCAACTGAAGAGCCGCGAACATCATAAGTATGGTGTTGCGGCCCGAACATAATCCACACTGCTCTTCCGCCATGTTCGGTTCACCGACCTGAGTGACGAGGTGCTTGAGCAGGATTCGGACGATCAACTACCCTACACAACTAGCAGGTTGATGTCACGATATTTCCTGCAACATTGCCTGCTTCCTTTGCCCTTGTACAGAGGAAGCACATGCGCATCTTTCAGGTCGGCATGCATTCTCACTTCAATCCGTAATTGTTGCACTAAGTGGTTTACCGCATATACCAACGCAAGTCCACTGTGTTTAAATACTTCAGGCGGGATCCCGTCGGAACCGGTACACTTTCCGTTTCGCGGCTGAGCAAGTGCTCCATGCGTCTCACCCAGCGTAGAAGTGACAGCAGGGCACGTCTTTATGTTACGGTTGCAACCTGTGCATTACAGCCCAGTCAATCTCTCAACAGTTGTTCAAGAGACAATCAAAGTGCTTCCGCCAGATCTGCATTACGGCAGCAGTCTGCGTACGAGCAGCGCCTGAAGTAGCATCAACCAGTATACTCAGCGCATGAATCGTGGGTCCATACACCGCCTCCATGTTTCAAAATTCCTTTATGTTGACGGCGTTCGGCGTAGCACTCCATCTGCTTCGCTTTCTCCGTCCACTATGCATTGTTAATGCGATGGAGCTCTCGAGTCAATCGCCTTCGAAGCTTCCGCAAATGACTCGCCCTCTCGCAATCGTCAGTCATTCAGGTGCGCAGCGAACGCTGCGTTCATCGCCGACACCAAAACACTGCTGTCATCAAAACCAATCGGACCGCTTACAGTTTGTGCGCCCGATGGTTTTTCGACAGCAGCGGTCACATGTTCTCGAATGTGTTGCCACTGGTCGCTCACGGAGGCTATGGATTCGACATTGCCAACGCGGGTAGCCATCGCCTTCTCCAGTTCCATCCTTAGAAGTACCTAGGGAAAGAATGTATTTTCCACCGGTTCACGGCACATGTTCATTACAGGGATTTACGGAAACACATGCAAACTTTGGTCCTCAGCAACTTGTGATCAGGGCCACACTCAGCTCCACGCTGCCCACGTGCGATGCGCAGTTCACAGATGTCACGCTGGTGAGGTGAGCATGTCCACTCTGGGAGTGCGTCCAAGTTGCTATATCACTCGCACCCAGTGCAAACTGTATATTCATGATCTTCAGGCCGAGATTGGCGCACAGTGTGAGTAGCCGTTCCCATTGGC